AAAATGCAGAGTTACAAGTATCTAAACAACAAAAGGATGCAAGTGATGACAATGACAAATCTTTGGCCGACATACAGCAACAAGAGACAGATATTATAAAAGAGGTTCGACGAATTAGTGGACAGTTGACATCAGAAGCAAAAGCTCACGCCGCAGCTTACATGAAATCCCTCAAAGATGAGAAAGATAACCTTGAACTACAGAAAGTATCCATTCACGGCACTTGTGAGTTTGCCAAACAGCTCGTCCAATATGGCTCCCACACAGAGGTGATGATTCACGCTAAAAATATCCAAGCAAGGATAAAAGAACTGAATAATGTTGAACCTCCCGTACCTGCAGAGACAACGGGCATAACTTTTATTAAAGAAAAACTTCCACGGGACCTTTTTGGTCGTTTGAAAAAGTACAAATGGCTAAATACTGCATCTTTGGTGGGTGAGTTTGATTCAACGTGGAGCATATTTGGGTATTTATGGGACAGTGAGGACAGTTTACAGGACATTTCGTGCAGCCAAAGTGGGACAATATATCTATGTATAAGCAATCTTGGTAAAACTCGCATGGTTAAACTTAAGGCAATATCAAAATTTCATAAGGTGATATTTCAGGTCAACGTACCAGACCCCAGGGGCGTCACCGTACTCAGTGATGACAGACTGGTGGTTACATGTGATGATGGATGCCGAGTGTATTCTTCCCCCGGGAAACATGTCCAAACATTTGGTCAGGGTTACAAGTCTAACCCCCAGGGTGTAACAGTGGACAACAATGGACACATACTTGTCTGTGACAAGAACAATAAATGTATCTGTGTGTATGACGCTGTGCAGTACAATCTTATTAATAAGATCGGTGTTCCTATGTGTGAAGATCCACGATACATTGCAGTGCTCCCATGTCGTGACACCATTGTGGTGAGTGACTATGCTGGACACTGTGTATATGGAGTGACCCCACAGAGCGATGTAGTGTTCAAGTATGGTACATCAGGGAAGAGTGGTTTAGGTGATGGATACCTGGACCAGCCCACGGGGGTATGTACAGACAGCTTGGGGCACATCTTCATTGCTGACCCAGGGAATAATAGGGTGGTTGTTCTGACCTCAGATGGCCAATTGTTGAGATGCATCGTGGGTCGAGAACAGGTTTCAAAACCACGGTGTGTCACCACCGATAACAAAGGACAGCTTGTAGTGGGCGAGCTGAAAGGCCAGGTGAAAACATTTCGCTATGTTCATTGACTGCAGTAGAAGTGTATGACAGACGTTACCAGGCGACAACATAGAAAATGAACAATTGCAGGGGCACTTCGTGAAAGTAAATATTTTAAATATTTGGAACCACAAAGAAAAGTTGTTTTATTATAACAGATTGGAAGAAAATCAATTATTGAAAGAAAAATGTAGTTGGAAAAACTTGTCATACGGGGGAGCTGAAATTCGTTACGTGGTCTTAAATTCAATGTTTTATTCTATTCATATCGTAGTTCATACGTGACAAAACAAATGGAAATTTACTTATTTTGTTCCGACCTCTTTTAGCACATTTATTGTCAGGTTTAATATTTGAATATTCTAGTTTCATGTCTATATTTGAGCAATGATTCTGCTTTGGATATTTAGTTGAAAGGAATATGTTTTACACAGTGTGATTCCTCCATCATGTTAAGTGTAGTATTTCCTGCACGTTTTTCTTGTATTAATTCTTACAAATAAATAAAATTCATTTCCCGACAATTTCGTTTCGACGACTTTTCAGAAGTCTACAGAAAGTATCAGCGGTCAAAAGCAGCAAAACAGAATCGGCATCCTTTACCTTTAGTATTTCGATTTTTTAAACTATTATTGTTGAGCTTGTATATTTTACTCTGTTGCACACGCATGCGTTAATGTTACAGTGTTATATAGTATATAGATGGATGTTTCATTCTACTGTTCAGTTCTTTTGACATCATCTAGTGCTGTGATTATATCTCTTTATATAGAAAAAATATAATTTAAATTCCAGCGCCTAGTTATGATAATAAGAGGAGATGGACCATGATGTCAGGAACATTCCACCTGCACTCAAAATATAAAGATTACGACTGACTTATGGAAAATTCTCCTCAGTTTCAGAGAAAAAGGGAGAGTTCTTTAACTCGTTATGTTATATTCTACCGGTACTCGATCGAAACGCGTTTGTTTTTCGGACGTCCGATTTTCAGTATTTTCTTTGAATTTCCTGACTAACATACATTTGTCTGAAGCCATGCACTGCTTGAACTTAATTCCTAATAATGCAGCAAAGGTCATGAATGTCGTGGACCAATTTCTTTTTTTTTTTTTCACAATATTCACGTTCACGTCATTTCGTAATGTAATCAGTCGTGTTTTTGACAATCCCAACTCGTTGTAATAACAAATGCGCTTAACAAAAATAATTTAATAGAAATAACCATATCAAATAGCCAATTGGATTATTATTTTATGTTTAGATCGATAGATCAACGTGCATGAACCTATTGATGCTGTAATGTATTTCGCAGGGCTGCTCGACTAACATAAGCTAAAGCTATCGATTTGTCAAAAAATCGGAATGGCTTTGATGTCCTAGACCCAAGGAGCATGTTCATTACTATCCATGGAATGTTCTTTCTCTAAATATCAGCGTATTGGTTTTCACCAGAAAATCCTTTAATGCTGGTAAAATTATTTATTTTCAGTATTGACGTCCTAAAAAATAAAACCTGGGTTCATTGCACACATCGACTTATTGACTTGGGAATGTGTTTTGTTACATCTTTATTGATGCTATTTAAATATAATTGTATACAACAAATTATTGGTCTTAACGATTGGATCTCAACTTGACATTGTGTTGTGTTACATCTATATCAGGCCCGTAGCCAGCAATTTCAAAGGGGGGGGGGGGGCTTTTTCTCAAAAAGTGGACCTTTTACCATATAATCCCCATGTATCTAGGTCAAATTTTACTCAGAGTGGACCTTTTTCCAGGAAAAGGGGGGTTCTTTCGAACCCCCCCGCCCCCCCCCTGGCTACGGGCCTGTATCACAGGCCAGATCCCAATCTAGTCCAGTAACTGGACTAGGCCATTTAATGATTGGGATATGATCTAGACCATAGGGTCATTGCATTGTTAAATATTATGAGCATGTTAATTGGCCTTATATTTAACAGGTGAGCAGCCTTTTTGTTTGTATTTTAAAAAAAACTACTGTGAAATGATCAACGTCAATTGTTTAGGATTGAACTATTGTTTTGAATATTATTTGAAACATAAAAATTATAATTCCAAAATANCCCCCTTTTTTTAGGGCAAAATTTACCTCAAGGGGGCCTTTTTTCCAGGAAAAGGGGGGTTTTTTTCGAACCCCCCCCCCCCCCCCCCCCCTGGCTACGGGCCTGCATATTGATGTTTTTCTTATAATTACAAAAGTATTGATTTTACTATGAAGAAGTCCTGGGTGGTTGATTTACACCAGGTAGGGTTCTCTAGGGTGAACGACAGACGCGATCATCTATTTATGCACATCCGACATAAGACAGCAACTTTAACACGGCGCGTCGTGGATCTATATATACACAAAACTGTCGATTAATCTTCAAAAAGGATGAATTGTTGACTTTTGATGTAATTATCTTCATAATTTGAGGTCAGATAGAATTTCACAAAAGTACCAAATCGATTTGGACATGAGTTTTTGTAAATATTCTGTTGCAGTGTCAACTTTAAATGAGGGCATTTGAAACCAACACGTTTGCAATCTTAGACGTTTTGGGTCTCGCAATCTAATCATAACAAGGTACATAGTCAAGAAATCATGTGGGCTTTGATATACATTGCTTTCCAATTTTACCGTTTATAACCCTTAAGAAAATTAAAGAAATCAGTCAATCAGGTAATGGGCTATATCATTTGTCAATAGCAACTCAACAGCTCAAGTAGTAACAGTCTACTTTACAGACACATGGAGAAATTTGAGTACCGAAACTGATTACAACGGTCTATAACGACAGTGATGGCATTCAAAAAGTTCCACAAAGTCATCAGTGACAATTTTCTAACGTGTCACATCTGTCTTCACAAGTATGAAGACCCGCGTGTCCTCCCATGCTATCACACTTTCTGCCTGACTTGCCTTGATCAGCAAGTGGCAGCGAGTAGAACGGGACGCAATATCACGTGTCCAGTGTGCCGTCAGGAGGCACCTGTTCCACCAGGTGGACTGGAGAAACTTGCCCGAATCTCCTTTTTGTCCAAGAGGACAATGTTGGACTTCCTGACAAAGGAAGGTAAAGACAAAATGTGTGGTAGCTGTCATTCACAAGTTGCTCAATTTTACTGTCAAAATTGTAAACATTTTTTCTGCGAGAACTGTCGACGACAACAGCATGACGCTATAAATTTTTTGCAAGGACACACGCTGATCGCAGTATCTGAATTGAGTAAGCATGTCCAGGATATGAAGGGTGTAACATTACTTTGCGATAAGCATGAAGAAGAAAGGTTGAAATTTTATTGCACAGATGACGATGTTGTTGTGTGTCGTGACTGTATTCTCACCAAACACAACAAACACAATTGTGTAGACATTGCAGATGTAGCAGAAACGCATAAAGAGGATATAGAAAGCGCCTTTAACAATCTATCTAAGAACATTTCACTGTTTGAAAATGCAGAATCGGAAATATCCATGCAACAGAAAGCTGCAATTGACGACGTAAGCAAAACGGTGACCGACATAGAACAACAGGAGGCGGATATTATAGAAGAAGTTCAGCGTATTTCTGCTCAGTTGATAGCGGAAGCAAAAGACCACGCCACGACGCTCGTAAAATCCCTGGAGGCTGAGAAAGATGGCGTTCAACTACAAAAGGTGTCCATTCACAGAACATGTGAGTTTGCCAAGCAGCTTGTTCAACATGGCTCCGACACGGAAGTGATGATGCACGCTAAACATATCCAAGCTAGGATGAAAGAGTTGAGGAAACTTAAACCCACCTTTCCGGCAGAAACGCAAGACAGCACTTCTAATGAGGAAAACATTCCAGTGAAATGTTTTGTTCTTGTGAAGAAGTATAAATGGCTAAATACTGCATCTTTGGTGAATGAGTTTGATAGCAACATTGGATATTTATGGGACATATCATGCAGTCAAAGTGGGACAATATATCTAGTTTATAACCAGCCGGGAAAACTTACAGCAATATCACCATCTCATAAGGTGATATTTCAGGTTCATGTACCAGACCCCAGGGGTGTCACCGTGCTCAGTGATGACAGATTGGTGGTTACATGCCGGGATGGATGCCGAGTTTATTCTTCCTCCGGGGAACATGTCCAAACATTTGGTCAAGGTGACATGTCCTACCCCCAGGGTGTTACAGTGGACAACGATGGACACATACTTGTCTGTGACAGGAACAATAAATGTATCTGTGTGTATGACGCTGTGAAGTACCATCTTATCAATAAGATCACTGTTCCTATGTGTAAAGCTCCACGATATATTGCAGTACTCCCATGTCGTGACACCATTGTGGCGAGTGCCTTTGATGAACACTGTGTATATGGAGTGACCCCCAAGGGTGATGTTGTGTTCCAGTGCGGAACACTAGGTGAGAGCGGCTCAGGTGATAGATACCTGCGTTTCCCCTGGGGAGTGTGTACAGACAGCGTGGGTCACATCTTTATTGCTGACCAGTACAATAACAGGGTGGTTGTTCTGACCTCAGATGGTCAACTGTTAAGATACGTGATGGGTCGACAACAGGATTCCGTACCACTGTGTGTTACCATTGATACCAAAGGACATCTTTTAGTGGGGGATATTGGAGGCAAGGTGAAAACATTTCGCTATGTAACTACAAGTTAAATAGTACATGAGACGTTACCAGGCGACAACTCTAAAAGTGAACAGTTTTAGATGCACTACGTGAACATCGTTGATGCGGACCAAAAAGACAAGCTGTTTTATTATGACAGACATATTGAAAGAAAAATAGTTGGAAAAAAAGTACATGTAGCATACGAAAATATGGGGGGAGGGGGGGTTGACATCATTTTTATACGTGGACTTAAATTCCATTCATTATCAAGTTTAACTAATGTATAGACAAGTTACAAGCGTAGGGGAGACCGGGGCTAGTTGGCCCAGTTCGACACTTTTGGCCTTGTAGAGCCAATTTGGAATGAG